CAAAAGGAAACAAATATAAATTCAAATAAGAAAACTAATGGTCCATCATTAAAAGAAATTATGAATGAAGAAATAAATTATATTAATACACAAAAATCAGTACAGGTATCAAATATTCGTTATTGTTTATTATTAAAATAGAATATAAAGAAAATTTTCTGCTATTAATTTATTAATCAACTAGATCTTATTCCTCCAAATGACTCCACATTCGAGATAGATGTAGCTGCCGTGACCAATCTTCCGTAGAAGTTCATGATGAAAACTCGACAGAAAATACTTTCATTACAGAGTGATAAAATTGGTGATGAGAGAAGAGAAAGAACGAAACTCGCAATCACCCAGTCCTTCTCATAACAACCGACTTGTTATCAGAGCATTTTTTCTCAATCCTATTCACTCACAAAGAAATTGTCGACTTATTTTTATTGACTACCTTGAAAGTATTTTTAATGAGTCAAAAGCTCTCCATGATGAGAAGAATTTTGTGCTTTCTTCTAATGTAGACTTAGAAGTTTTCTCGAGTCCCATGAACACTTGAACTTTCATTATTGCAAATAGAAAATAAATAATGATGCATTTATTAACATATCCGCTTTTTTGAGCAGAAGATAGCCTACAAAATTTAGTATTGTTGTTTTTCAACAGATCACTTCAATTTTTCGTTTCTCTTTCAAATCCTAATTTTTGAATAATTGACTTTTCTACTAAAAAAAGTTTTGTATAGAAAAGATTTCGTAGCAAAGTGGCTATAGTTTCACTTAAAAGTGAAAGTCACAGCTTCGTTCAATACAACATATCGTAAATAAATGTTCGTTTGATAGAACGATTGACTTCAATCATTTTTGGCATCTTCGAGAAGGCACTTATAAGGGTTTAGCAAAAGCCTATAGATTCATAATTCTGTTTAATTTTTTGGCTTCTAAAAAATTCCTTCAGTAGTCTCGAAAAAAAGTAAACATAATGTGTCTAATTCCATATTCCAAAACAGAAGTGTCTAAAATGCTGGTCCTAATCCATCGTTTTTGACTCGTCGAAAACACTTTCAAAAGAGTCAAAAATAAAGGAATACTTTTTTTTTCAAGACTTTCGACCCATCTGTTACATCATAATTGCTTTTAATGTTGTGCAAATCATACAACTTATCATAATTATTTAACTCAATATTCGGGCATTTCCCTACTATCATCAATGGTTAATGCATTGTCTTGTTATGTGAGATTACATTGATAAATTCATTAGACTCAAGTCACAAATATTTTAACCGAACATCAATTTAGTGTTGCATAACTTCTATTGATTGACAGAAGAGCCTGTTTAGATCCATAACAGTTGAATAATAAGTTTTGTGGTCGTGTTGTCGTGACAACTGATTGACAGACGTAAATGTTCTTGTCTGTTATTATAAGTATTACTTATTTTCTACATTTTTTTCGTTTATGCAAATATGAACAATATTGATGACATTCATTTCTTTGTTTAAATTTTCTATTTCGCGCAAGAAACTTATTAATATCTTATTTTTATGGAAAAAAATTAAATGAGCAATTGAAACTAGAACAATACATTAATGCAGAGTAATTGCATCAACTATATTCCAAAAATCAGAAACATCAATCAGTCTAGCTTGGCCTGCAGCCTAGGTCAGAAATAAATCAATGGTCTTTTGGCAGCTAGATCTGGTCGGGTCCGAGTCTCAAAAATCTGGACTCGATTGGATTTATTGGCAGCCATAATTTTCATTGAATAGACGTATGTTAAATAAGTTTTTTTACAACTCATATTGGATAGAAATGCGAATTTTCTTTTCCTTAGCAATATTGCTCGCTTATTGTTTCCAAATAAAAATTCGACAATAACTATTTGTCTATAAATTGACAAAGAATTATTTTATGTGACTGAAACGTTAAATTAAATGACAACTCTTGACATATTTGAAATCTTATTTAAATTAATAGAAATTCTATCATAAACGAATTACTTCTTTGCATTTGAATAAAAATTTTACGATCAGAATTTTCATTTTAATAAGACTTCAGTTAAAGTTTGTTTTTTTTTTCTCGAAATAATTTTAGAAACGTCAACTTGATTTTGCTAGTCAACATAAATTAAAACAATTAGAACGTCATTTTCCAAATTTTTCATCTGATCTTCTTTATGAAATATTTTGTGAAAATGAATTCGATCATGATCTAACATTAGCGTGTGTATCATCAATGCTTGATGAAAATGTTCCAATTAACATAACTGCAAAATCTCAATCATTGCCATCATCTAATGTTCGTTCTACTATAACAACAAAATCTATTGCGCAACCAACTGTTGAATTTTATGAAATCTCACGGCGTGATGCTCATCTTCATGCATTAAAACGTAAAGATTGTTATAATAAAGCTGATCAAGCAAATCGTCAAGGAATGATTGGTGTTGCATCATATTATATAAATCAAGCACGTGAACAAACTCGATTAATGAAAGATGCAAATCGAACAGCATGTGAATATTTATCAAAAACAAGACTTACTCAATTTCATCAAACACATCGACTTGATCTTCATGAATTATATGCAGATGAAGCACTTCATTTATTTAAACAAGTTGAACACGAATTAAATGAAGGAAATAAACGAACAACACCAAAATCTATTGAAATTATAACTGGTTATGGAAAAAATTCAATTTATGGTGGTGGTGGTGGAAAAATACGTTCTATTATTCTTACTTATATACGACAAAAAAATTACAAGTAAGAATTTTCTTGTTCAATTCTAATCTTATGAAATTATGTAAACAGTTACATAGAAATTTAAAACACTATCAATTGTAATTTTTCTAAGAAAGATCTAAGACTGAATCCATAATTGTAGAACATACATACACACACATTTCTGTTCTCGATGTATACTATCTATAGACATCGAACCAATCGGTTATGAAACAGACGTCTTTGAAGCTAAGAAAAGATGAATTGTTTCGATTTCATGGCCAGTAAAAAATGAAATCAAATGTCTTCTATGTCAAGAAGGTGACTAGTTTTTTACTCTATCCAACGAATTGAAATCTAACGTGTTACATAGAAGGAAGATCTCTCTATCAGGATTACCTATTGAGGAAAAAATAAGGGAGGCTTTTCTTTAGAGAAAGTTTCGAAGTTTCTACAAAATTCTTTACAGTCTCGTAGGCATCGTAAGTAGGAACTGATATAGCGAGATCAGGGCTGTAATGAAAAATCTTTAATCCTGCTTATCACTAATCGTGATAGAAAGAGTATTTTAGAGGTTTTTATCTCTGCTTCTGATTACGGATGTTCAGGGTAAGCCTTGTTTTTTTGTATTCTGTCTGAGACACAGTCTCTAGTTCTTACTCTACTCGACCCTGAATATCTCTAATTCTGACAGATATTCATACAAAAAATGCTTTCTCTCAGACAAAATAGTAGAGAAAGTCGATTATTTCAACATCTTCTGTTCGATCTCTGCTATATTAAGACACTTTCTGATGAATTTGCAGCCAGTCCGATTCTTAAAAACAATCAGAAAGCTTTATCTCTGTTTAACATCACATCGAAAAAACCATATATATTTCAATGATTGGAAAATGGAGCAAAAAAAGAACATAGGTTTGATCGTTTTAAAGGTGTCTCAGCCTAATAAAAATCTTCTCATAGTCAATATATAAGAGAAAGAAACATCAGACAGTTGAAATACTTACTCGAAAATAAAATGAATATTTTTCTCAATCATACTAGATACATTTTAATCTTTTTATTTAAAAATAAAATAGAACATGATTGAACATCAATGTTTTTATTATTGTTACATTTTTTAAAATTTATTTAGATATTCGGAGCCCAATAAAGGTGCGATTCTAGTGCAATTTTAATAAAATGCACAAAATTTGATGGACTTTATTATTTCTAATTTGAAGTTATTCATTGTTTTCTTTTGATTTGATTTGTTTGTATGTGTGTGTGCACGCGCAGTGATCTTCTACGATTTCACACTAGATGTAGAGAAGTTGTTTTTTCTTTTTCTTCTTTTTTTTGGGTCTAGCGCGAGTCTTTCACTAGTTTTTTGTGTTTTTTTTTTCTTTATTATACTTATTGCCTTCCTACATACATACGTATTTCTGATTGCAGTTCTTGTGTTTTTCGATGTGTGTGTGTGTATTAATGTAGTTAAAGAAAGGCAAAACAACAAGTCTGTTTTTTTTTCTGTTTTGAAGAGATATGTTAAATCTCATACAGTTTATTTCATTTTTTTTGTGTTGTTTTGTTCACTGCGTGATTTTTCTGCTTTGTTTATTTATTTCACATTTATCCGGTTCGTTTCTATTCGCTGTTTCTTCATGTTTACAGCTCAGGAAGTCGGTTTTTGGCTGCTTTGGACAGAAGCACATAAATTCAAGTCTTAAAAATGCTCCTTTTGGTGCTAATCAATCGAACAATCATAAGATTGGCGAACATTTGTTGTTTTTTTCATAATAATTAAACGTGAACGATGATGACAGAAGAAAAATCTAATTGATTGGAAAAGTGCCACTTTTTTTTGTTTGTTTGTTTGTTTGTTTGTTTGTTTGTTTGTGTGTGTGTGATATTAAAGCTCCCCGTCCGCGATTAGAGATAAAATACATGTGTGTTTGTATGTTTTCAATTAGGGTAAACAAGAGAGTCGCTTGCATCTATGCAGCAGTATTTTGTAAAACCCTGTTCATGTTTGGTAAACTTTAACTAGCCATGTGCGTTTGTTCAGTTATTTTTTTAGTGAAAACAGAACCCTTTTTTGCTTTCGTCCACGTTATTTCAACACATTTTTTTCCTTGTTTTTTTTTCGTGGTATATTCGAGTGTTTTTTCTTTTGTGTAGAACAAAAACAAACAAAAATAAAGTATTAGGCAAATAAGAAATTCTTTTTCTTATTTTTTTTTCATCAGAAATGTTAGTTATCATTTTGCAGATAAATAAATAAATAAATATATATATTATTTAATATCAATCAAAGATGAATATTGCTATGAATCGAATTATGAAAGAATTCAAGGAAGTAGTGGCTAATGAATCAGTAAGATAATTATCATTAATATATATGTAAATCTATATAATGTTTTCATAGAATGGAATTGAGTTGCATATGCCAGAAGGCGAATTAACAAGAAGTCCTTCAAATTCATCATCAAATAAAAAAGAAATTTATTTAAATGGATCACTACTAGGACCACCGGATACACCTTATGCTGGAGCTCGATTTCATGTTGATATTATTGTTGTTGGTAAGGTGAAGATATAAGAAAAAAATATATTTAAATATCTCTTTTGTTCATAGATACATATCCATTTAATCCACCTAAAGTTCGATTTACAACAAAAATTTGGCATCCAAATATCAGTTCAGTGACCGGTGCCATTTGTCTTGATATTCTTAAAGATCAATGGTGAAAATATTATTGTTAATAATAAAAAAAAATTCATTGTTTTAATTTATTTAGGGCTGCTGCAATGACTATTCGAACAGTATTGCTTAGTTTACAAGCATTACTTGCAACACCTGAACCAGATGATCCACAAGATGCCGGTAATTAAATTGAGATATTGTTCTAGTTGTTATTATGTTAGATAATAAAATTTAGTTGTTGCTAATCAATATAAAAAAGATAGGAAATTATTTGAAAAAACAGCTCGACATTGGGCTAATGTTTATGCAAATGGTAAGTGAAAATTTTTTGAAATAAAAAAAAAAAGAACATTCAATCAATTCATTTTTTTAGGACCAACACCAGAACCTGAATGTGATGCAGCTGTTAAGAGCCTTGCTGAAATGGGTTTCGATGAAGTAATTAAATAAACTCAATATATTATTTAAAATAATACTTTTTTTTTTGTAAAGGAAAAAGCTCGTGCAGCCTTATCATCAATGCATTGGAATACAAGCGATGCTTTGGAAAGTCTATGTAAAGCATAAATAATTAGAACAAAACTGATATTACAATTTTTTTTTATAATTATTATATGCTCTGCTAATCATTTTCTCTTATTTTTCTAAACAAACAACCGAGATATTTGTGTTTGCGTATGGCATGTATAAATCCTAAAATATTCTCTTGTGTGGTTATTAAACTGAAAAGAAAAAAAAGCATAATAAATTTCATTAGCTCATTTTTTTTGAGAAAAATATAAAATTATTATCAAAAAAAATTTGGCTATGTTCATTTTTTATGCATTGGTATGTGGTTCTAGTTATACCAAAAATAAATAAATTTGTTTCTCGTTTTAATCTTATTATGTCAATAAATGAATTAAGCGTTAAATCTTCCGATTCATAATTCAGTATTTGGGGCAAATCTTATAATCAGGCTTAAGCTTAATTTAAGCCTTGATTAAGTGTAAGCCATTAGTCCTAATATTACTTTATAACTGATAAGAAAAAGTGTTTTCTTTACATCACTTATATTCATTTTCGAATGGTGCGCATGTTGCCCTTTATAAGCCTTGTATTTGCAGTGTCACTGCTGGCTGTTGTCGAAAGTACAGGTCTTAGCTTAAGATCATCAGGTGAGTCATTCATCATGACCTATAACGAAATTTTTTAGCTCACTCCATGACTAGTAGATGTTTGGCTCGTTCAACCGGGCATGTTGCCCCGTCTATTGGAACTTTCGATTTCAAGACAACTCACACTGTGACATACTCACTTGATCCTATAGTCTCTTTAACCGCCACTCAGCTTAGTTTTACAGTGGTTATTCGCACTGGGTATGAACCTCCAGCTACATGGGTGAATGTTTGGCTCTGGACTGAGTGTAATAATCAACGATTCACCCGATTCAAACGGTTTTTTCGCTACAGAGGAGATGCCTATATATACGATTCAGAAACATTCGTTTTGCCAGTCTGCTCTGCCAATGCTCGTCTCTATCTAAAATCTGATCAAATGTTAACGGGTGATGCTGTGTTGGAAATGTACGCGGTTGGTTACTCTTTTCAATGAGACATCATTCTATTCACGCTTTCCATTAAATTCAGGATCTTTATTCGTAATAAAAAGATTAATACCACTTTCAGACAATAAATAAAGCGTTTTCAATTATATTTGAATTTAGCAGAACTGTTGGTTTCGACTTAGATTATATCGGGCAGAAGTATAAGAAACATAATGAGGATCCTCTTCCTCTAGTTGGTCATGAATGACGATAGAAGCAAGATAATTATGGAGATGCCAATCCTTGGATGTGGATGTGTGTCTGGTGGATCAGACGAAAACAGACTAATCTATCTCTTAACAAACGAAAAGACAAGTTCGAGTTGCTAGTATCAACTTTTGTTTTTTAGCAATCGGTTAAGTCGAAAATGAAAAACTAATAAAATAATAGATAAGTGTGCTTGGATTAAAATAATTAAAGAAATGCAGAGTTTAATTCAGCAACGCGTTTCATATCTTTTATTAATAAACGTGTATAACCGCTTATCAGGGTTCTGTATAACAGTTTTTAAGCACAGGCAGAAAGTACAAAAAGAAAATTTAGTGATATACATGAAATTGAAGTAGAGCGTAAAGATAAAATAAGAAAGAAAGCCAATTATTGATTAAATGGTAATATGAACTTCGCTGAGTTTTCACAAAAAATACAAGAGTGGAACAGATTTAAATTTCAGTAAAGTATAATGGAAATCAAGATCGTTAAATCGCATGGATTTCATTTGAACTGTTAATCTTGATTAATGATATTTCAAAATAACTTGATCATATCATATTTTTCAATAGGATTATGTTCTCAAGTAAATCGATAAATATACTTCAACTAAACCAATAAGTGTAAGTTATATCTTCAGTTTAGTGTAGTTGATTGATAAGGAAGGATTTAATAAATGGATTTTCTATCATCACTAGTAGAATGAAAAGAAAGGTATTGGCAAGGGAACTATCAAATCAACGATCTTTAGCCATTGATCAATCTTTGAAAGCTCTAATTCGAGTAATAACACTAGGAAATAACTTGAGTATATTACTAAACAAATGTATTTGAAATCAATCAATGGATATAGTTAAAAGTTCACGTGAATATAATTTAAACAAATCAAATTAAAACCGCACCAACTATTAATTTTGAGTAGTAATACTTGAAAATAGTTTGATCATATTTTTCAGTAAGATCAAAGATTAAACAAGTATTTGTCAAATAACTGAACATAGTTAAAGATTGAAGCAAATGTCAGATTTTAGTGAAAATATTTGGAGATAACAAGTATATTTTCGAAATTACTTGATCATATCATTTAATAAGATAAGGGTTGAGAGGGCATGGCAAAATCCGCTTTCCAGGAAATTCAAAATTGGCTACACCTCGAATCATGGTACGGAATTTTATATATACATAATATATAGTTTCATGTGGGATTGGGTTGGGTTGGGCTAGGTCAGATTGGGTTGGGTTGGGTCGGGTTGGGTTGGGTCATATTGGGTTGGGTTGGGTTGGGTTGGGTTAGGTCATATTGGGTTGGGTTGGGTTAGGTTAGGTCATATTGGGTTGGGTCGGGTTGGGTCGGGTTGGGTTGGGTCGGGTTGGGTTGGGTCGGGTTGGGTTGGGTTGGGTTAGGTCATATTGGGTTGGGTTGGTCGGGTTGGGTTGGGTTAGGTCATATTGGATTGGGTTGGGTTGGGTTCGGTTGGGTTGGGTTCGGTTGGATTGGGTTGGGTTCAGTTGGATTGGGTTGGGTTGGATCAAGTAACAATATATATGTGGGTGCGAGTGTGGGTGTCAAGGAATTTATCATGCACCCACCCAAACTCACACCCACACCCACACCCACACCCATAGCCACACTCACACCCACACCCACGCCCACACCCACACCCACACTCACACCCACACCCACACCCACACCCACACTCACACCCTCCTTTTATGTTGAAATCGATAATAGTAATATTGTTTTATCCTCATTCATAGACAATTGTAGTCCACTCGGTAAATATTAGTGATATCATTCATCCACAAGTTCAATTGATATTAAGCGTTGATTATCTATGTTGTTTCATGATGTCTCTCTCATCTCATTGTACTCAATGCAGTAGACTCAATCATCATCTATTATTATTTATCCAGCATTTGTGCTTTCTACAATTACTACAAAATTCGTACTCAGTGAACTTCACCAGATAAACCAAAGCAATCAACTACACTCTTTTACCTTATTTTGAAGAATAGATGACTGTCTATAGATTTAAAGTAGATTTTTAGTAAACAGCGAAATAGTGGCTATTACGACAATACTTCAGTAGGCACTTGAAAGGTAGAGGGTAGTGTACGAAAATCATTTACTCAAAAGGAAATCATCTGAACTTTCTTCTATAGCCATGGCTACCTCATTTGATATGACAATAAATAAACTCAATGTGTCAAATTCTACCGTCGATTAGTTTTGATTTCATTTGAGATAGTAGTATAAATTGTTGTTGTTTTGTCAAAATATTATACTTATATGGAACATGGAGTTACATACCAATGACATGATATAGTGAATATAGATTATGTCCATAGTGCTGGTTTATTAATTACTTCAGAAAAAATAACAGTATCAAACAAGAATTTTTATGTTTATTTCTCTTAACTGTTACTACTGGATCCTGCATTCTCCTGACTGCCGACCAAATTCGACATCTGATTGCTCGAATAAGCGTCAGTACGCTTCGTGGTTACACCTGTTTGTGCATTGCACACACCTTCAAGTGGATCACGATGGGATAGTTGACCATCAGCTGTACTTCCACCTACAAAATGAAATAGATAAAATACAGCCGGATGAGACTAGAATTCAACACTGACCAGTGCCAATTGAATCATTTCGAGCTTGATCGATCTGACCGGGCATATTTCCGAGTGTACCTTGACTATATTTGGCTTGCGACATTTCAAAATATGAAAATAATAAAAAAAAACGATCTTGTGTTGTCAGACTCGATTCATTTATTTACGTGTGTTAGTTCAACAAGTACGTTTTCAGTTGCACAAATGCTGGTTTTCATTTGACCTATCCAAATCTCAATCGTATACATTTCTAGTGTAATAGACTGAAACTAGCTCGATTTCATCCTTCAAAAAATTCTTTTTACATTGTGAACTATAATTTTATTGACAAATGACATAGAGCTTTGTTTTTGCACATGGCGCAATAAGTTAGCATTTCTCTAGATCTTTTGGAAACAAATACAGGACAATGAATTCAGTTCGAATATATGGAACTGAAAATAAAATATAATTTATTCTTATCTGGTGACACTTGAGTCTGAAACAAAATTAAACTCTGCACTGGAACAGTTCGTGACGGTGGGAAAATATCTTTTAATCGAGTAATAAAACCGAAAATAAGATTAGGTATGATTATCTACGATTAAAATCTTTTATTTTCGACTTTTATAAATGTTATTAGTTGATTTTTACGGTATATCGACTGACCAAATAATGCAATATAGATGACCGTATTACAGTTGCTTTCGTAGTTAACTAGATCGAAACTTGTCATTCATAATCAGCACGTTTTCTTCATTAATGAATCAAGCATGCTCTCAGTCTTAAGAAAATATTCCATGTCAATTAAATCCTGTTTTAATAAATTTTATTAGAAAAAAAACGATTCAATATACTTTCATGAATTTACAAAAATTAATTTTGAGTCTTTGTTTGGATTCTATGTGGGAAAATCGATTTTAATAGATTTTTTATGATTCAATCTAATTTAGTAGATCAAACAAGGAATTGATTTAATTCTATTAGATTATTGATGAACTCTCTGGAAATAAATCTACTTTGATGGATTAAGTATGAAATCGATTATAATGTATTACATTATAAAATGATTACTTAGATTTTACAGGAAAAAAATTGATTTTTATCGGTAGTGGACGAGCCAGAAAAGTTTTTTGGGGAAGGCTTAGCCCTCATTTGAAGCTAAAAAATAAGTATTTTCTTCGCATATGATATAGATTCATCGCATTTCTGAAGAAAGCTAGACCATCTTCAGCTACTCTTTAGCTTCGCACTATCGGCCAATTTATACCAAAGGAAATCGACTAGGAAACGATTATTATCAAAAGATAATTAAAAAAGCCATTATTCAGCTGATTACTCTGATAAATTTTCAATATCATGAATTAAAAAACTATGCAAATAACATATCTTTCAGACGTTGTGCATGCTAGTCAATGATCTAATCTTCAAATGATCTCTTTTAACTTGCATCAACTATAATCAATATTTTTTATCAAAATGAAATCAATTTTTATCTGATTTTTCGTCTAACATTTATACATGGGTTGAGAACTGCATTTAAAAAAAGAATTTTAGGTTATTTTTTAAAAATCAATTGAAATCTATTAAGTTTTTCATCGATATGATAGATTGTTTGCCGAAAGATCGACTCTAATTGATAATCGTCTAGAAAACCTATTTACATCTATTATTTCGTTGAACTTAATCTAAATGTGGTATATTTGATCATTTTTTTATGAGTATCGTCGGAAAATAAATTTTAATCTGATTTTTCAATCGTATTTTTTACATGAATCTATTTTCACACTTAAATCCCCATTTTAAAGATGGTGAATCGATAGACAAAGACTAAATATAAGTAAAAAAATGACGCGATCAAAATGATCATAATCACCCCTAAACATGTAAAGCTAAGCTAACATGAAGTTTGATCTGACTGATTTCTAAACAAATGAATTTATTTCACCAGTTGTGAGTATTTGACATGTCAGTGATAAAGATGATTGTATTTGTTCACTATTGCTGATGCAAAATGATTATCAACGTAAAATAGATGTTAATTCAAAACTTACTGAAATAAGTCCTGTATTTAAATTTATTGATACTTATTCTGAATCACACTTCATTTAATTTCTACTGGCTTGTTGTGTATATAGAAAGTAAGAATAGTATATTCTTGATTCAAATGTAATAATCTAACTTCTTGATAAGATCAGGATTAACTTCAACTTAGAGTTGTAGTTGCCAATCTCAGCAAATAATCAATATCAATGAAACTAATAAATATTTTTTCGATAATTTATACTATGGAGGAAAACATTTAAATATAATATGAAGGTATACGCGGTATAACCATGATATTCATACCAAACTACGTCTTCACAATTTATAGTCTCCCTAGCAAACAACTATGACTCACTATATTAATATCTGTCTAGTGATAATGAAATAAAGCAAGTAGCTTAGATTAACCAGAGCGAAAAATGATCGATCAAGTTAGACAGAGGAACAAAATGAGAAGTAATAAGAAGATGACAAAAGAGGTGACGCTACACATTCATCTTTCCGAGTTTCCCAAGCGTCTTTTATAGATGATCTCAATACATCAGAATAATACAATATTTATTAGTGCAAATATAGAGACAAAAAAACATGTTGCTGCAAATATTTTTGCACATTCAATATAAAGAAGAATTACTTTCAGGAAAAAAAAGCCTTATGAATACGTTGTATTGCTAGTAAGAAAATTGATTCCGGTAATGTTAACATCGTGCATATTGATCATAATTTTAATCATAGAATTAGAGAAAAACTAAAGACAATATTTATTATTAATTAAAATAAATAATTCTAACTGTTTAAAAATTTGTTCAAATAATATAAAAGTTATGAAAAAATTCAACTAAAACTTCCTCCTTTTTTTTACTCTGTAAACAAAACCAGATTACATCTGATTGCCAAAAACATAAAAATTACCATTAATACAAAGATGAATATTCATTAGCATATTAAAATAACGCTCAATCTTGGTATTAAGCACGCACAAAATCAATTATATCGATCAAATCATCTTTTAAACAATATTATTATCATTTCCTCCGTCCCTTTGAGATTATTATATTGCATTGAATTTATTGTTATTTCCTATATGAAGAATTGACACTCGAAACTAGTTGAACGATCCCTTAACTTTTATTTATACTATTCTCAAATCAAGTTATTTTTTTATGATTTCATATTATATTGTCTTATTAAAACAATAAAAAATGTTTGATTTATTATCACAATTAATTGAATATTGTTTGAAGAATTGATATTTATCTATCAAAAAGAAATCCTATCAATTTTATAACAAATATTGCCTTCTGTTATTATTTTATTTGTGTTTTCTTTTTATTGACATGTAGTATTTATTGTGTACAATCATTAAAAATGAAAATTCTACTGCACTATGCTTAGCACATCTATGGTAAGTTATTATTAACTAGTGATATTTTGAGTCAAATCATAGATTACTATTCAAGATATGACTTTTGTTTCTGGTAAATAGTTTCGTTTTGGAAAAGAAACGTATAATTTATGACAGATTTCTTAAAGCCGCCTACATCCTAACTCTCGAGTTTTTTTTTTTTCTGAACATCATAGTTGTTAGTTATTCTGCCGCTTTGTTTTTTCATTATTGAAAGAGAAAGAAAGAAAGAGATGAATGAATGTTGTTTGAGAATTGACATCATCATCACTCATCAATCTTTCTTCTCGTTCATCTGTAATACTTATATTAACAAAAATCTCAGTTATTATTGCAATACGCGAGAAAAAAAAAATATTTATATATAAATCTAGACAAGAAAGAAAATAATAATAATATGATAAAAGAAAAGTATCAAGTCGTTTCATAACGGACATTGTTTTAGTGAAAGGGGAATAAGAGACTAAAGTGGGGAACATTCGCATGCATTTATATAATGAGAAAAAAACCATGATGCCGACATCACGACATAAATATTGTGTGAGGCAAAGAAGAATCATCTTCTAATATTTGATCTCTCTATCATAAGTACGCACATCCAATACAAGTAGTTGTCCGTACACTGATGGTATCTTTTTCTTTCTCACAAGTTCAAAACTCGCTAAAACACAGGCTTTCTCTTTCTTTTTATGTTATATATATACTAATGAAAAAAAACCTCGAATTGACTAATTAATTATATGCATATAAATTAGCACAAAAAAAATTAACAGCAAACGGAACAACGAGTAAAACAACTGAATATGTGAGTAGGCAAACACAACGAGTCATTCCTTTTCTCACATCGTCTATATAATATATATTTATATGTAGTGGCAACTTCCTTCATCTTCTTACTTTTTTTATTACAATAAATATATTCGATACTTTCTAATCAATCTTTTAAAGTGTTCTATGGCTGGCGCATGTGGACGTTCAAATCGTAGTCAATCAAAAGCAATGATAATTTCATCTGGAGTAAGAAAGATAGAATTTGTTTCGTTTTGTGTTATAATTCCTAATTTAAAAAAAAAATCATTTTTCTTTGTATATACTCGTATATTCTTTGGATAGTAGATCGATAGAAATTAATTTCTCTTTTCTTCTTTACATGCGTCTTTCAGTATTCTCCATTTGACATGAATTAGTCATTTATTATTCTTACATCATTTTTTTCCATATATCATAGCAAAATTCTCAACTAGAAATATTTATGAAGAAGATTAAAATGATGAAGTATTCCGAATAGAAAGAATTGAATTGTCATTTTTTTAATAAACCATATAAATAAAATAGTTAATTGTATTCAAAAGAAAAAGAAATATAATAAAATACTTTTCTTATTTGATATATGTAGTTGTTTTCAGTGATATCTTCAATAATTAGTTTCGAAAATTGTTTTAAGTGAAGTTTGAACATATCTCAATATTTCGATGTCTTAATGATTAGCTTGATTGAAGTTAATTGAAGAAAAGTTAAGTTGTGCTTTGTTTCAAAATAATCATTTATACTGCGTATCCTAAAACTAAATTTTGTTCGACAACACAGTTTGATAAGCTGATTTTTACAACCTAGAAGAGAACGCTATTAACTGATTTACTTATAATCATTAAAAAAATCATTTTAAAATAAAA